AAATTAATGTTTTAAACATACGATCATCGACGATTTTTCTTGATTGATCATATTTGCACCCGAAACGCATTTAAATAATGAGGATATACAATGAAATGAACTAGGTTCGACAAATATTTAATATATTTTTGATTATACTTTTTTTTAATCGATACAATTTATTTAAGAAAATTTTCGTAATTTAGTTTATTCTATTTTATCTATCTATCTATCTATCTATCTATCTATCTATATATATATATATATATATATATATAGAGAGAGAGAGAGATAGATAGATAAAATATCTATCTATCTATCTATCTATATATATATAGATAGATAGATAGATGATAGATGAATAAATATCTAGATATCTATCTATATATATATATATATATAGATATATATATAGATAAATATATCATATATATAATGATCTATATATATATATATATATATATATATATATATATATATATAGATAGATAGATATGAACAGGCTAGATAAAAACCTGAAATATATATATATATATATATATATATATATATATATATATATATATATATATATATATATATATCTGATATATATATCAGGCTCTTTCATATATATATATATATATATATATCCATCTTCATATCTATCTATTCATATATCTCTATCTTTCATTGACTATCTCAGCCTGTTCATTATCTATCTATCTATCTATCTATCCTCTTCCATTTTGTCCTCTGTCCCCACGCTCCTTCTCGACACCTTTCATGTTATCTCCATGCAACAATCTGATTTACCGACAAAATGATGCATAAACACGAGCCAAAACCAGAGAAACGCCTCTCTGTTCTTTTTATGCCGCAAATATCAGTTGATGTGACATTTTCGGAATCACTGCGCGAAAATTGAAATATCTTCTGACGCAATGATCAATCATGTCATGCTTATAGACGGAAAAACGGAAGCGCGATGCAGCGAAAAGGAGAGCAAGAAAGTGGGGGAGAGCAACACTTCATTTATAAAGTATGAAATGGATTGAGACTATTAGCAAATAAGTCAAAAGGAAAAAGATAGCGGAAAACGAAAAGAATTGTGGGAAAATTTGACAGAGAATGATTAGATAAAGAGAGGATCGACAATGGAGGTCCATTTAATGGAAAGTGAAAAAGAAAGACAAAGACTTATAGAGAAAGGTGAGAATGGTAAAGTAAAGGGAATGAGAAAAGAAAAGAGAAAACAGTGCCAGAGATTGACAGAAAGAGAGATAGAAGGAGCAAGAGATTGACAGAAAAAAACAAACAAACGATAGAGTGAAATATTAGGTTGGTTTCAAAATAATGACGTATTAATATCGTTTTTTGACGTTAAACAATACGTCAAAAAACGACATTATTACGTCATTATTTTTGCACCAACCTAATAAAAAGAGACAGAGAGAGTGTGTGAAAATGCGTGTGAGAAAGAGAGAGAGATAAGAAATTATTGAGTGAAAGTGAGAGATTGCCGTGACAGAGAGAGAAAAAGACAAAAGATTGAGAGTGTTGAGAAATAATGCAAGTTGTAGAGAGAGAGAGAGAGAAAGTTAGTGAGAAAGAGACGAACCAAAGAAAGAGAGAGAGAGAGAGAGAGAGAGAGAGAGAGCATAGATTGAGAGAAACATAAAGAAAGAAAGGTGAGAGAGGAAACGAGAAACAGATGGAGCGAGAAAATGACAGAGAAAGAGAGTCAGAAAAAGCAAAAGAAAAGTGATAGAGAAAAAGCAAGAGATTGAGGAAAAGAAAGAGATAGAAATGTGATAGATGAGAGAGAGAGAGAGAGCGAGAGAGATTAATAGATCGAGGGAAAGAATAGGAATGTAATATACATATATACACATATATATATGCATACACACACACACACATATATATATTTGGTTGGATAGATGTGAGTTTGTGACCCTGGGTTTCACGCTTTAGCGATCGTCAGGGTCTGACGAACTCACATCTATCCAACCAAATATGTTAGTTCTGTCTCTGATATTGAGCGCTTTCTAATATGTATCATGTATATAATATATAAATAATTATACATATATTTATTTATTTATATTTATATACACTTTTCACACACACACACACACACACACACACACACACACACACACACACACACACACACACACATATATATATATATATATATATATATATATATATATAAATGGATAGATAGAGAAATGTGAATGGACTATCATAGAGATATGCAAACAATAATAGAGCTACTTCGCTAAATAGATGAATAACGGGAAAGCAGCATTATATATATATATATATATATGAATGACAATTGGAAAATTGTAATAGTCGCCGACGCGTTTCGTCCAATGGGGATTTTCTCAAGGCAATATTAATTTATTTAAACAAAGTAACTAATAATAACAAAAACAGAATGTCCTTAGCAACAGGAAGAATTTAGAGGATGCTATTTTCATACTGTTAACTGAAAATTACGCCAATTACTGTCACGTGGGGTGATATTTTT